AACAAATTGTATGATCTTTAGTACTTTTTGCAGACTTACAATTTTGAAATGCATTAAAGTAGTTCAGCAAGATTTAAAAAAAAAAAGAGACAGTTCACCTTTATCATTTGGTATAGGCCAAGATCATATCCTGTGCTGAGAACAATTCCAAACTCATTTAATTAGAAGAGCAATTTACTGGCATATACATACATTCCACATGAATGATTTTAATAAGAATTATAAACTGTTGAATTCTGTGCATCGTAGTGTCATATATTAATTTAAAAAATAGGTGATTTTTTGTACTACTGAAGTGCTGTTAAAATAGCATTGAAATTTTCGAATTTCATGTTCGATTTTTGTTTTTCTGGTTTCACATTCTTGGATTTGTTAATTTTCTTTTTCTTCCGTCTTGTTTCAACAAATACTTGAAATTTGTGGTTAATAATTTTTTTACATTAATATTTGCGGTCAATTTTTAATTTTTTCCATTTTATTTCTCCTTCACATGCAAATACAAGAACACTAATCTAATAAAGGAAATCAGTTCTGCGTAGATCCATTTGATTCAAGCCAGTGTAAATATTACGATCCAATCTTGAGATTACAATTGCAACTTTACATTACATCAGTTAATAGGGTTAAAATCTAACCCTTTTTTCGAACATATCTCACCATTGGGTCCTTCTATTTTTCTTCCTTTTCATTTCCCCTATTCAAGGGCATAGTATACTACTCCCCTGAAAAATCTGAAAAAAACAAAAAGAGAACAAAAAGAAAATAGAAAGCATGAGATTATATTTGATCTACCTTGAAAGTGGATTTCTTTATATTTTTTGTATTATAGTTCCTTCGTATTGTGATGTCCAGCTGCTATCTGTAGTCTACCCATATTCGAGCATCTTTTTTATTTATTATTTATTACTATTACTTATATTGGTCATTTCGAAAATGTGTTTATTTTTTGTTCACTCATAAGGTAGTTTATATTACCCTTGTCATGTTTAGCTCAACCTAAATAAAAAAAGAATAAATAAATTGAGAAAGAAATCATTTAATCAATCAATTAATTATATCAATATCACAAATTCACAATCAAAATAGAGTCAGCAATATGAATCCTCTGTGTCTATTTCATTTTATTTAGGTTAAAATCAAAATGATTAATTGTATATACACGCATGCATATGCACACATTACAAAGTTTTTGGCAGATATATTAAGATTGGCATTTCTATCAATAAACTTTAAATTCCTTTTTTCTAGATTGTTTACTAGCCAAGCCCTAAAATGTCACCAAAAATGCAAGTCGATATGAAATTGGTTGGTACGAAGCGACTTCTCTTTTCTTTTGTTTTCTCTATATAATAAAAATAATGTCAACGAGAGAATCATAGCCATTATGCAAAGATAGTCTATTTAGGAATACCATAGAAATATACTCACCAAGTCCCAGCATTCAACCAAATAAATATAGCAATATAAAACAAGGACTGATGATTTTATACTTGAAGGCTACAATTTAGATTATAAAGATAGATATTCAAAGTCTCCATCTTCTTTTTGCAAATTACGTATAAAAAAAAAGGCAAAAAACTTAATGAAAACTAAGGAGAGATTCAGTGTGCAATGTTGGAGGGTTGGAGGTCAAAGGGTATGCATAGATTATATATTGCTTATATATAGTTATACATATATTTTACATGAATTATACATATATTATACATCTCCCTGCTAATTTTCGTTTAAGAGATTAAGTGGACGGCTATTTAAGTTAATTCTTCGTAAAAAAAACTGTTTTGAGCCGTAACAATACAATGGGCTGTGGCATGCCTATTTTGCCAAGCAACACTTAACAACAAAGTTTAGCTAACTAATATGCACGAGTAGATAATGGGATTGTTACACAAATAATCGGTCAGATTCAATGTTTACTTTTTCTAGTCAATAAAAATAGATTATACATTAATTATACACAATTTTATATATATATATATATATATATATTATTTTTAGTTTAAGAGATTAGGTGGCGGACTATTTAGGTTAATTTTTCTAGATAAAATTTACCTTATTATTTTCTTAATTTGCTTGCCGGAATAGCTGTGATTAGAAACCGAAATTCGAATCCTTATGTACAAGCTAGGAAGATAGTTGTAACCTGGTTGGCTCTTACCTATACATTATAGAAGCTTCTAATATGAAAAATAACAGCATGTAGATAATAATCTAGACCGAAAACTACTAAAACATTCGTGGTATTTTATTTCAAACAATATGAGTATTACAATCTTTATGAATCCTCTTATTCTTCTTTTCGATAGTAAATAAAAGAGCCTTTGAGCTTAATATTGATTTTTTTTTTTTTAATCCAAGTGCATGAGGTCTGATCTTGATCTTGACATATTTTTAATCCAAGGGCTTGCAGCTTGTTCTTAAATCTCCGTCTTGATCTTTTAATCCTTAGAACACTTAAATGCTTGTAGCTTTTAGAGAAATCTGTAGTGTTTAATCCACGAGCTCCCTCTTGATTCTTGTTATAACTTCTGGTTTTTTCTCAGTTATGAATACCCCTATTTATAGTTGTGGGAGAGAAGAGTTATGATAAGAAAAAACTCTTTCCGACCAATCAAATTAAAGTGTGACAAGACCATAATTGATTGGCCAGAACATGTCACTTGTACATGTGGCGCGGTTTCATTGGCCTTTTAATTTGTCTTGATATGCCTTGTCATTTTGACATGTGACATAATCCTATTGGCTCTTTTGTTTGACTTGACGTGCCACGTCATTTGACACGTGGCACCAAACTGGGCCTCTAGGAATATGACATATTGGGTCTAATGAAATGGGCTCATCATTTGTAGCCCAACTAAATAGGTTAGCCCTATCAATATTTATTGGACTTAAGTAATTAATCCAATTATATCAGCCCATAATATTTATTTAGACCAAAATATATTTAATTGAGATCAAATTCAAATTTCATATGGATTTAAATTCAATAAAATTTTAATTGTCTACACACTTCATAACAAATATTACGTTGCAGTAAAAAGAGTGAAAGAGAAAGAAAAAAGAAATAAAAGTAGTACGTTGTTCTTAACGAATGAATCCAGCGCAAAACCGAATAAACAAGTAATGGCCCATAAAAGTCTTCCCCTGCTAGCTGGCTACTTGTGTAATGATCCCAATTTTAAATTATGGGCTCCAAATTTAATACATTTGTTAACATCTTAAGAACTTTTCACATACCTATTTATTCCTCATGTAAAAAAATATGGTTCAGTTAAACACCAATGCTACAATTCTCCTCATTCATATACATTTCGTTTGATGAATATAGGAGCTTTTCAGATTTTATCGCATTTATGATAAACAGAAATAGTGACCTCTTCTCTCATTTAATCAAAATGTAATCTTTTAACAAAGTGGAATGCTCTTATGTCTGCGTTTATCTTCTGACCGCTATATATAAATAAGTTAACCAGTAGGAGAAAAAGAAGAGGAAAGAAGAGAAATTTGAACTTGCACAATTTGTGAAACGTCCGAACAAAAGCAATTACATTCTTGAGATGAACCCGGTTGTGGATAATATCTGCACCCAATACATAATCAAATCAATGAATAGACGACATATGTCTTTCATACACATATTTATGTGATATGATTTTAATATTAATTTTTAAATGTTAAGGTTAAAAAACTTGATTTGATAAACACCAAATGCTAATAAGCATTCACCCTAGTACTGTAATCTATACCAACATTTTATGCTATTTGACAGAGTTTAGTACATGAATTTCGTTAATGAAAATTTTAGCAGAAGAATAAAAGAGAGAAAATGATTGCTGTGAAATACTCTTTTTAAATAGTTAAGACCCCAAGAAAAAGGAAATCCATTTAGGTCAAGAACTTGCGACAAGAGTAAACAATTTTGATATTTTTTTAATCCTTTCAAAGGATATAACAATTGACACGTGTCATTTGACGAGGCAGCTAATAAATGGCCGTGTTTGTATTAGGTCTTCAGATCTTGACTCTGATCTCTGGAATTGTTGGAGGCAACAAAAGAGCCGTTTGTTAGGGGTTCAAAATAGTAAAAAGTAAAAAAAAATTATAGCCGTTTTTGGGCTATGTCAAGGGGATTCAAAACATAATATATAGAGGTAAAAAAAAATAGATTTTGCCTTATACAGTCAAACATCTTTATAACGGCATCCTTATATAACAACACTTCACTATAAAAGTCAAGCTTTTCCGGAACCAATTTTTATGTTATGTTATAATATATGTTCTCTATAACAGCATTTCGCTATAACATCCAAAAATATTTGGAACAAACGAGGCTGTTATAGAGATGTTTGATTATATATACGGTGTAATTTTTCGACGAATGGGGTTCGGGTGAACCTCTTCCGCACCCCTAAATCTGCCCCGGCGAAAGGGTCAAGTTTAATAATATGATGAGAAAACCACAAGCTTGAAATTACTAATAGCATGTTTGGCCAAGCTTCTCCAAATCTAAAAGTACCTTTTTTTTTTTTTTTT